ATACAACCAGCACACAGGCTTTGTAACAGAGAATATCAGCACCTTTACAAAAATCCCAAAACCAGCATCACCTTTTAAACTATAAGGATTAAAAAAAAAAAAAAAAATTAACAACAATATCATTTTTACTGTGTTTTAAAATAGTTTATTAAAGATTTATTTAGCTGGGCATGATGGGGCATGCCTATAATCCCAGCACTCAGGGAGGCCCAGGCAGGTGGATATCTGAGAATGCGAGACTAGCCTGGTCTACAAAGCAAGTCCAAGACAGCCAAGGCTCCACAGAGAAAGCCTGTCTCAGAAGAAAAAATATATTTTTTAATTTATGTGTATGTTTCTATGTAAGTGAGTGCGGGTATCCCTGAAGGCCAGAAGAGAGCACTGGAGGCCCTAGAACTAGACTCCTCACACAGGTGCTAGCAACACAGTCCAGTCCCCCAAAGAGCAGCAAGCATTCTCAACCCTGAGTCATCTCTCCAGGCTACTGCAGTTCTACATACAAACCCACTACATATGAGTTAGTATTTAACACTATAAGTATACAATTCTGTGACATTAATTACATTTACAGCATTGTACAACTACTGACACCATCCAGCTCCAATACATTCACCATTCAATACAGAAGCTTTGATGATTAATAACTGCTTACCAAGAGGCAAGGCAAGAAAATCACAAATTCAAAGCTAGCCTAGGTTACACAGCAAGAACCTGTCTCAAAAGCAAGGGTGTGCTAGCATGAACCACTAATCTTAGCATCTGGAAGCAGGAAGATTAAGAGTTCAAAGTCATCCTCCACTAAACATCAAGTTCAAGGTCAGCCTGAGCTATATGAGACTGTCTCAAAACAAAAGACTGGCCTTCCCAATACTATAAGATAGGCAAGCTAAGCACTGGGCCCTTTTAGTTGAGAGGAGAAAAAAGGCTGAGAACGCTAAGTCAAAGAGACTGCTTGTTTTTCTGTTTTTTGAGACAGGATCTCTCTGTGTAGCCCCTGCTGTCTTGGAACTCACTCTGCAGATCAGGCTGAGCTCAAACTCTGTTATATTTCTTTTTAAATGATGTTGTTTCACTTCAAAGCATCTTTAAAAGAAAAAAAAAAAAAACACTTTTCTGATTATGTAATATAACTGTGGGTGGAGAAGGTACTGACTTAATTTTGCATATTCAAATAAAATAAAATAAAACATTTGTCAAATATAATAAAATTATATAAAGAAAACTTCATTTTACTGCCCTCTCCCTGTGCTTAAAATGCTTGATGACTTCTCAAAAATACTTTATCTAAAATAACATCAACTAAAATTCTGAATTTTAGGTTTCCATTTACACTAGAAGCTTACTTATAATACAGACATTCCCATAAAATAAAACTAAAGGAGAAAGGACTTGAGCAAACTATGGCAGTTATGATGAGTAAACTACTGTCCAAAGACATTCATGTCTAGTCATCCAGCTATAGCTAGTCAATTTAGCAAAGTATGAGCTGTGGGCTACAGCTACAAAACTGATCCTAGGGGCCCAGAGTTCATGGGCTATCTAAGAGACGTAATTTTTCTTTCCTAAACAGAGCAAGCTTTATGGAATTGTTATAGGAGCCACGACAATATTTCCCCATTAAAAGAATAGAGCCAATGACAGAAAAAGAGCATAACCAAATACATAGTAAATTACAGCAATATTTCCTTCACTATGTATACACACACACACCATAGGGAGAGACTCACACACATACTACTAAATAGCTTGATGTTTGAAAATACAAATTTAATTTACATGACAATATAAAGCAATTTATATTTTTAAAAGTCTCCAGGGAGTGGAGATGGCTCAGTTATTAAGAGTCTTGCTGATATGTAAGGGGACCCAAATTCCATGATGGGTAGCTCAGAATCACCTATAACTCCAGGGGATCAATGCCTCCTCTTGACCTTCAAGGGCACCTACCACATACACATACATAAACCATACTCAGAGACACATGTATACACATAATTTATAAAAAAAATTAATCTACTTAATCCAATAAAATTATGACCTTTTCTCATGCAGTATATTCAGCAACTGAAATTCACACAAGTTTTCAAGATCAGTAATTTCAACTCCAATCTGTTTTGTCAAGTACTGACAGTAGGTGAGTGCAGGCAGCTCAGCTCCCTTAGAAAGGAGCTCTGATGGCTAATAAGCAGCCGTCCACTGGGAGGGTGCTGTGTGCTACTGCTGTGTTTTAAGAAAGTAATTGTGTCTAAATTTAAAACTACACAACTGATGGAAAAAAGTTCTACAAAGGGTAAACTATATCTAAAATTCATTAAGTGAAAACAATTACTTAGCTTATTCAATATAACTTATAATCGATGAAACTACAATCTCACTAGGAACTACTGAGTTCTTATTTAACACCAGAAGAAAAATTTTAATGCATAAATTTAATATATAATTTAATCCACACATCTTAATTGAAAGCTGACTTCAAAAAGCATCCAAGCTAAATTATCTATTCTGTCTCCAACAGTAACGGCCATCAAGAGGTTAAATAATTAACTCTTATAGAGGGGCAGATGAAATGGCTCAACAGATAGATGGTGCCCCAAGCCTGACCTGAGTTCCATCCCTAAGAGCACATGATAGGGTTCCTGCAAGTTGCCCTCTGATACTCACATACATGCAGTGTATGCATCCTCACACATATACAAAATGAATGAATGTTACTCTTAAATTCTATACAGGTAGCTGCACAAAATATAAAACCAAACTCAGATAAGAGCTCAGGACAGAAACTACTGCATAACAAAGGCTGAAAACGTTAGGAAGGCAATCAGAACTCAAATTCTTTGCACTTAAAACAATGGTTCTCAATCTGTGGGTTGCGACCCCCTCACAGGGTTGCAGATCAGAAATTTACATTACGATTCATAACAGTAGCAAAATTATTGCTATGAAGTAACAATGGAAATAGGAACTGTATTAAAGGGTCTCAGCACTAGGAAGGTTGAGAACCACTGACTTAAATGGTTTCTGCCAAAGAAGTTGCTATTTGTAAAGGGCAGCTTAATACATACTCGTTTGCAAAATAAAGATAGCTACGATGCTCTTGGAAACCACAGGCTTCGCAAAATGTTTAAGAGTAGTCAGATCCTACCAGCCAGTGTGGAGCACCCCAGCCACAGGTACTGCCCAGAGGCTCCAGCTTCAAGGTTGATTATGAGAAATTTACAAAGCCCTTCATGCTTCAGAAACACAAATCTCTCAGAGACTGGCCCTGCTCAACATGAACTCAAGCATATTTATCCTGATTAAAAAAAAAAAAAAAAAAAAAAAAAATATATATATATATATATATATATTAATCTCATGAAAATCTTCAAATTGTTTACAGTTTTAAATTTGATAGCACCTACTCACAAGAAAGCCACGGTAGGTTGAATAAGTGATACTCATTTTGAAGCTAGAGCTGTTTGAACTCACAAGAGACACACACAGGGGAGCCAACACCACCAGCAGTGGCAGCTACAGCACAGACCTACCGTAGGGAATGTCTGTAATGCCACACAAACAACCAAGGGAAGCTTTGGGCTTTCATCTAGACAGCTCTTAGTATAGCTCCACTTTCTCAACCATTGAAAAAATGATCAGCCACAAAAGAAGTCCTTGAGAATAATTAGGGGCTCAGTTAACTAGTTTAACAGCATCTCACTGGGGAGTGTAACTCAGTTGGTCAGTTGGTAGAGCACAGGCAGGAGGTCCTGAGTTTAGCCTGGCATAAAGCCAGCATGGTAACTCACACCTGTAATGGCAGCAAGAGAGGAATGTATAAAGTCAAGAGAACTCTCAGCTATACATCCAAGTTTGAGACCAGCCTGATAAGCATCTCAGAAAAAAAAAAGTACCTAATACTCAAAATGACTTTCTTACAAATCAGGACAAAATTTCAAAAAGTACCACAAATCTGCTCAACATTGCTTACCATGCTTACAGCTCAAGCCAGGCAACCCGAGTTGGATCCCCAGAACCTACGTAACGTGGGAGCCACTAACCCCACAAAGCTGTCCTTTAACTTCCACACCCACCCAACATGCAATCACACAGAACAGTCAACAAAAAGCAACAGCAAAGGGTGCTCCTAATCCACCAATCACTGTCTGAAAACATGAGTGTTAAGAGTGAAATCCTTCATTTAGCTTCCATCCTGAATGTTTGCACACACTCACTATGGATAGCCACTAAGTATCTGCCAATAACTCTTACCTGTAAATTTAAAGCACCGCTGAAATCTCACCTTTCATACAAGGCTGATCCTGTTTTTTTTAGATCTTCATGACTCAAATATCAATTTAGACAAACCATCATGATGACTTCTTACCACCTTAACTCAAAAATGCAAAACCAGTGATTTTAAACAAAGCCAAGTGGCCAATGCTTGAAAGCTGGCTTCAAACTGTTTTCACACTGAAACACACACACATACACACACTCAGTCTGGATTAAGCTCTATCAACAACAAAAAACACCATCTTTTGAGGGTTTAAAATTTAAAGCAAAATTGTTCTAAAGCCACAAGTTATTTCCTAAATTGCTTTGCCAAAGTCAACACAAAATGACATATGATGGAGTAGCCAGCTTTTCACTCCATGCTCCAGCATCTTAGGGCAGCTGGAATGAGGTTATTTATTTCAGCAAAGCAATCCTAAGCCAAAATGTCTAAAGCTCCATGTGTAAAGGCTGACATCACCCATAGCTAGTACCCAATGGGGAGCCTCCTTTACGACCTTCACAGCTTTGTTTCCTATACACAGTGCCCATTCCATGTAAACCCATTACTTCTCAATAGTTCTGAGCCCGCTGCTTGCCACACTCACAACCAACACATTTCGTCAGCTATTTGATCTTAGCACCAAAACAAGCACTGACCATAGAAAGCAAAATTCTGTAAGAGAAAGCAAACCCAGGATACAAGTTGAGAGAATTTTAGGAAGACAGTAAATACACAGGCAGCTCACCTGCAGTTTGGTGGAGGATCTAAAGTGATGTCTGCCAGCTCCTTCTGGATCCTGGAGAATTAGGAAACACAAAGTTAGTGGCAGGACCACCCAGAACCAGGTGTGGAAGCCCACCTTACTCCACTGAGGAAGGAGAGGACACCCTCGTGTCCCACGCTGAGCAGACTTCCCGGCGCAAGGGAGCAGCTTGAGCTCTCTCCCACCCTCGACAGTACCGGGTTTCCAATGCTGCCAGGCACACCAGGGCAGTGTCCTGGATGTTTTCCACTGAAACAATTTAAAATGTCCTTCCTTGTTATTTTCCCCAACCTTCCCAGCATCTCACCTATGAATGGAAAAGTCATTATGCTGAGGTGAGTCTGTCCTGGGACTCCCAGCCGCGGGACCTCATAGGCCATGTCCCACCTCATTCCCATCCCCCAGTCACTCCAGGACCCCTAAACATAGTGAGTCCACGTGCCAGCCCCACCCCTCGGCCAGGCCCAGAGTTTTGAGTCTCTAGCAGACCACGACCCCTCAGGTTGTGACCCTGACCAGCCAGCCCTTTCCCCCGCCCCCACCCCCCTGTCAGGCCAGTGCACACCAGCGCTCCCCGAGGGCCGGGACCTCGCTCACCAGTGCCCCCACCGGCCCGGGCCTCAGCGACCAGCACACGGGGACCCGCACACCAGCGCCCTCAGCAGGTCAGCATTCCTCAGACCCGGACCCAGCAGGGTCGGCAAAGCCAATATGGCCGCTCGGGCCCCAGTGACCGCACCTCAAGAGTCCAGCGGCCCAGGAAGCGCGGGGTGGAGCCGAGGGCAGCGGGCCCGCGAGCCCCGGGCACAGGTGCACGGCCACCTGCGCCGCCGCCGCCGGCGCCCAGCTCCTAAGTTCCCGGCCGCTCCGCCGAGGCGCCAGCTCTCTCGGGCAGCCCAGGCCCCTCCGCACCTCACCTCACAAAGAGCCCATCCCCCAGCCCTAGGCCGAAGCCACTGACAGTTCACACCCGGCCTGGCCTTTGTCTTCTGCTTACCTAGGCGCTTAGGGCACCAATTAAAACAACAAACTTCGGGGCCTTAAGCTGCTTCTCCTAAAAGGAGACTATTTTATAACTTCTCCTAACGGGCTGTTACAACTTAAAAATCCACCAAGGCAGTTAGTAAAAATAACGACAACACTCACACTCAACAATCTGAATGACAATGGATGTTTTTGCCTTTCCAGAGGTTTTCGGAGGGTAGGAAGCGGTGGCTGTAATGCTCAGACTTTCTTTAACTGGCACTTCCACGTTAAAAGGAAAAACAAATTGAGTGGTGACTGGGGAAGTTCTTCAAACTTTCCTATTGAAGGGTACTTCCTGTCCCTACAAATGTGGTCCAGTTTAGAACACCCAGTCTCAATCATCTCTTAGTGTCCTGCTAAATTCTACCGCTTCCAGTAAGCGTTTCAGCCCTATACATCTGCCTCTGCTGTTGCATTTACAAGTCTTAAACTAAAATTTGGAGCACCAATCTCTGGATTCTTGTACCTACTGGAATTTACCATTTTCAGATCTCTCAGAAAGCAAACATGTCCTCCCTAGTTGTAAAAAGACAGCTGCTACTGTATAGTACTTGAAGGTGAAATACCAAGGCTGGCAAGATGGCTCACAGCTAAAGGTGCTTGTCACCCTACCTGATGATCCCAATTCAATCCCTGTGACCTACATGTGGAGGGAGAGAACTGACTCCAGCAATTTGGCCCCTGACATGCCTGAACCCACACATACCACATAATTCACACAAAATAAAATCATAATTTTTGAAAAGTTCAATACAGGCAGTTTTGCCCACTGAATCTCAAGCACCACCATCTTTCTGCACCATTGGAAGAACTGCTGGTGATTTAAGGGCCTGTTCCAAGAGTGAGTCTAGCTCTGAGCATTCTCCATTGCTTCCTTCTACCCTTAGCTTAGAAACCACTTTCCCAAAGTGAATGATACCCGTTAGTCACCGATTTACGCTTCATTTTTACACCATCTCCTGGTACACATGACCCTTCCAATTCCATAGGTAGCACCTACCTTCCAACCCAATATATTTCAACCCTCATTCCCAATTTCTCCTTTTCATTCTTTCCTAGAAACCCTTTCCACTTTTTGCCTTTTGATGTTAACCTTTGTTCTACTTTAATACAAATAGCTAATGTTTTAACAAGTTATCTAGGAATCTAAATTTGCTGAATTAAAAGACACATAAAACATGTCAGTTTACAGGTAAAATGATTATTAACTGTTTCCCGGCTTCCACTTCTAACATTTCATTACTAGCTGTTTCCAAATAAGGTCTCATGTAGTCCAGGCTGGCAATATGAGCGACAATGGGTGTTCTTCCATTTCCAGAGCTTTTGTAAGGGCAGGAACTTCTCCAATCACCACTCAGTTTGTTTTCCCTTTTAATGGGAAGAATTGCCAGATAAAGGTGGCAGTGCTCAGTGCATTAGAGCTGGTCTCTTCCTTCCCTCCAAACACCTTTAGAAAGGGAAACATCCATTTAGATTGCTGAGCCTGGACTACAGGAGACCCTGTCTGGAACTCAAGTATGTAGCCAAGGATGATGGTAAATTGATCTTCGTGCCTGGCACAGCCCTGGGAGTGCAGGCCTGTGCTGCCATGCCTGATGGGACTGGGGACTGGACCCTGGGCTTCACAGAGGGGAGGCCAGTACTCTCCCATCTGAGCTACCAGAGTTTTGGTTTTTGCTTTTGCATTTTATGTTTGACCTTTTGTTTCAGAGACAGAATCAATCTCATTATCTGTACCCACACCTCCTGGAACTGTCTCTGAAGAACAGGCTGACTTTGAACTCAGAGGAGATATATCTGCCTGCTTCTGTTTCCAAGGGCTGAGCCAATAAAAGGCCTGCACCACCATGCCCAGAACTAAGTTTCTAATTTTTTAAGCATACATAGACAAACTGTATCCACAGGAATATCCAGCTATTTGTTGTATACTGACAAAAAGCAAATTACTTTTTATATCTGTCCATTTTCCTCCCAACACAGTCACAAGTATACCAGATTTTTTACCACGATAAAAAAAAAGAAAAAGAAAAGTCTCACTGACCTACAGCTAATGTCCTGCACTGCAGCAAGGCGGGTCAAAAGCAGAACAAGGGTGGAGAGCTTAAGAAGACTGGGAGTGAGAACAGCCATCCTGAGAAAGAAGGCGGAAGCCAGGCTCAGGGAGATTCACAGAGATTAATCCAAGACCCTGCATACGCTTCCATACAGTCAAACCACTGAAAACGAGACCAACCTTACTAAGGCATGGACATCTTCTCAAGACTTGAACATTAACCATTTAAAATGAAAGAAGTAACTACATCAGTCCAGTTAGGTCACTAAGGTGCCGTACGAAGTTTCTGAATTTCGGGACAGGGAAAAAGACGGGAACAAACTGTCAATCTCTGAATTATAGGCTTACTACCCAACAATGCCATCCAAAGCCATTTAGATGTTCTATTTAATTTTAAATTCTTTAAAGAATGCTCTCCCCCAGGAGCCCAGTTTCCGTTCCTTACTACGGCCAATTACATCAACAAAAAGAGAAGGATTTATGAAAGGATGTCACAGGGTTCCCAGGTGTCTGCTAGAGATTATTTTAAGGATCACAAGATCAGAAGATGTTACTTAAGGTTGACAGAGGCAAAGTATCCACCTGTCTTTCTATACAAGAGACTAACTCTGGGTTTCTGAGTGGCTCACTTCCGTAACACCAGCAATCAAGAGGATGAGACAGGAGTTCAGGGCCAGCCTGGGCTATACAACAAGAACCTGTCTAATAAAATAAGCCTCCCTGAAACCTATCAAACTGAAGTTCTTAAACAGGAAACAAAAACAAAAACTCTCCAAAAGTAACTGAAATAATAATTTTACAGTCATTCACTGATTCATTCATCTCCCTCAACTCTCCAAAAGGTAAAAGGCTCTTTAAATTCCGCCAGAAAACATCACCTAAATTTCTTAACTGCTAAGAGAAGTTAGTTATTCCTTGAGCAATCAATGGAAAAAACTATTCAGAAAATACCCTGCAACAGGTGAAGAGGAGAAAGATGGTCAGAATTCATTTTGACAGAGTTGCCCAGGAAGTCACAGATCCATGATTACTTGGATGAAGACTCTGAAATCATATTCAGAGTCACTCATAAAAGTAATGAGGAGTCTTGAAACTTCAACAAGAAACAGTCGAGGCCAAGCACAAGTACTGCATATGGACAGGGGTGTTAACAAAACCAGAAACGGCGAGCAGTAGAGAACACAGGTGGGCTCCCATGCCCCATTTTCCTGCCTGAGAACGTCGTTGAAGCCACCCTCCCTGACATGCAGCACGAGGCAACTGGAGAAAAGAGTAGGGTACCTCTTGGCGCTGGTGGAGAGGAGCTTCGAGTTTTTGCTCATGCTGACTTTACTCTCCTTCTTCTTGGGGGTGCTGGCTTCTTTCTCGGTCTGCTGGTTGGAGGACGAAGATGAGGAGGAGCTGGTGCTGGCCCTCGAATCGTCATCCGACATAGCGAACCCCCCACCCCACCCCGCGAACAGCCCCTGCAGGGGGAGGAAACAAAACAGAAACACAGACCATGCAGGCGCTGCAAAGAGGGAACTCCGCTGTCAGCAGGGCGCGGGCCGGGCCGCCCCCGCCGCCCTGCAGAGAGCCGGGGCCCACCGCCACACCGGCCGAAGAGACGCGGGGGCCGCGATCGCGCGGAGGCCGCCCGGGCAGGGCCGGAGCCGCCGCCGCCGTCCCCGAGGCCTCCCGGCGTCCGCTCGAGTTCGGCGAGGTTGGGACGAGCCGGGCAGGGCGAGTGGGCCGCGTGGGCCGCGGGGACACGGCGCCCGGCCAGGCCCGGCCACGCGGGGCTGCGCTCGCAGGCCGGCGCGCATAATGCGCCCCGGGCGGGCGGGTCCCCGC